AAAGCAGGCAAATTCCATCCCGCCGGGCAGCCCGCCGAGGTTTCGGCTTGTGACACGTCAGCCCGCCAAACTTGTCACCGCCTTTGTCACCGCTCCGTCTGGCTCCGTTTTTGGTGCAAAAAGCGCTCAAAGCGGCCAACTCCGAAAAGTTCGTTTTTTCGTGTCAGACGGCAAGTGGGATGCCTGAGCCTCAAGTTTCGCTTGTTTTCGGTCGAAAGCAGGCTCCAGACGCTCACTTTGCTCTGGGGACTATCATGCGCAGCGGGACACGGCGCGCACGGGCTTGGGCCAGTGCTCCGCCACGCAGGGCAGCGCGCTGTTCTCCGCGTCCCGGTCGTAGAAGAGAAAGAGGCGGGTGAACGGCGCTTCCGGCTCGCGCGCCAACAGCTCGCCCAGCAGGCGAATCAGCTGCGCGTAGCGCTCCTTCTTGCTGGTCCGCCGCGTCAAGCCGGCGATCTTGAAGGCGTCCGGGTTGTAGCGCAGCACCAGCAGCTTGTGGCCGCTGCCAAGCGCCACGCTGGCGGCCATGTCGAAGTCCCTGCGCACGTCGCAGCTGGGGTCGTAGACCTTGCGCTGCTCCTCGTCGACCTCCAGCAGGACGTAGCCCCACGGGGTCGCCAGGGCAAAGTCCGCGAAGGCGTGGGCCGTCTCCGACTCCAACCCGCAGCCGCGGAAGGGCAGGTAGTGCTGGTACTCGAAGGTGATCTGCGCGTCGCGGAGTGCTTGGTGCACCTCAAGCTCCTTACTCCTGGTCACTGCGCGCGGGTTGTCGCCGTGCCGCTTCTGCATGTGTTGTCTCAAAAGGTAGGCCGCCCCAAATCGCTGCCCTTGCTTCGGACACCCCTCGATTTCACATACGAAGTTCTGGCAAAGCGAGCAATGACTTTTTTGTCGGTTATGCTCGCAGATTCCTGCGCCACGGCATGTTTTGCACAATGACCTTCTGACGTTGCGCACGCAGAACGAGCTGCCATTGCACTCTCGACACTGGCTCTTGCACTTATCGTGCTGGCAGAAAGCGCCGCCTCCGCACTCGCGGCAGTAATACGGCAGGAAGCCGTGCGGACAGCCTGAGCACTCCTTACAGGATCTGACTCGCCTGTCGTGACGGCAGTATGTTTGGGGCTTGCACACACGACATTCCGCGCGACGGGTGTCATGCTCGCACCACGCTCCTCCACCGCAGCCCAGCCTGCATTTCTTCGGCCGGCGCATCTCTGTGTACAGACGCGCTTCCAATGTTTTCTGGGAGACACCGGGGCAATCCTGTGCCCACACCAGGATTGAGTGGAGCAATCCTGCGCCCACGCCAGGATTGAGTGGAGCAATCCTGTGCCCGCGCCAGGATTGAGTGGGGCAATCCTGTGCCCACGCCAGGATTGACGGCTGGGCGTGTGAATGGTGGAAAAAAACACTCCGGGAGTTATCCGGCGAGGACCGACAAACTCCCGGACCTCCCGCGCTGGCCCGGTGATGGTGTTTTTCGGGCAATCCTGTGCCCACGCCAGGATTGACGGCTGGGCGTGTGAATGGTGAAAAAAACACTCCGTCAGTGGCCCCGGCGAGGACCGACCCGCTGTCGGACCTTCGGCGCTGCCGGTGATGGGTTTTTCGGGCAAAATACCGAAGTCGGAATTCCGACCTCGGTATAGAGCGAAGTCGGAATTCCGACCTCGGTGTGGCGCGGGCTCGGCAGGAGGCTTCTATGCCGGGCAGGCGCGGCAGGAAGGTCGGAGCTCGGAGTTTTTTTTGGGCCCTTTTAGGAACCTGCAGGAACCTATAGGAATCTTATAGGAAACCCATAGGAAACCCATAGGAAACTCATAGGAAGCCATCTTCTTCTTGCGTGATCTCCTCCACAACCAGCCAGTCCAGCTTTTGCGCGCTGCCGCCGCGCACGTACCTGCGCACCCAGTGGTCGGCCGTCTGCGCGGAGCAGTGCGTCTTGGACACCAGGTGCTTCGACATGGTCTGGGCCAGCCCGGTCTGCACGGAATACAGCCGCGCGCTGACGACGCGCCCGCGGCGGCGGGCGACGCGCTGGTGCTCAGCGCCCTTGAGATCATTGCGCACTTTGACCCCTTGATGTGGGTGGACGTGACCTACTGCAAGTACGGAACTCCGTACAGGAAGCAGACGCGGCTGTGGACCAACATGCGCTGGAGGCCGAGGCGAAGCCTGTGCAGGCCCGGCAGCCGCTGCGAGGCGTGGCAGGACGGCAGGCACCTCCGGGCCGCGCAGCGGGGGCCGCGGCTGATGGAGGGGCAGTACGAGAGGGTCAGCCAATCACGCGAGCTGCTCTACAGCGTTCCTGCTGCGCTGTGCGAGGAGATTGCGCGCGCGGCCACGGAGGAGCTTGCGGAGCGGCTGAGCATTCCGGACTAGGCTTCCTCCAATGGAAAATGCACATTTTTCCATGTTTTTGCATGTTTTTTTGGGCGGTGCCACTCTGCGTCAAAAATGAAGCAGAGGGGCACCCCCCGCCTTTTTTCTCGTTTCTGGGCGCATTCAAAAGCGGTGTCACGCTGCATCAAAAATGAAGCAGAGGGACACCGGGCCTTTTTTTTTGCCGTTTTTGGGCGGTGCCACTCAACTTCAAAAGCGGTGCCCCTCTGCACCAAAAATGGCGCAGAGTGGCACCGGGCCTTAGTCAAGCACAGAGACGCCCGTGCCGGAGAGCGTCACCAGCTGGTAGGCCACCAAATGAATGAACAGGTCCGTCATCGTGCCGTCCAGGCCCTTGAAGGTGAACCGGGCAAGGTCGCCCGAGCGGGTGCTGACACCACTCAGCGGCATCTTGGGCACGCGCTCGGTGGGAAAGCCGGCAATGAAGCTGTGGCGCAGGTAGCCCACGCGGCCGATGTCGATGTTGCGCACCGTGTCGTCGTAGGTGCCCGCAAGGACGGAGAGGAAGTGGAAGTGCTCCGAGGCTCCCTTCATGGGGTTGTGAGGGTACTGCAGGCTGCCCAGCTGCATCTGAGACTCCAGGAGGCTGTCCTCCTGCCTGGCCGCGCCGATGGGGGCGGGGTTGGCCAGCAAGTGGATCTTGGAGCCCGCGTCGTTGTCCCAAAAAGTCACAAACGCGCCCATGAGTTTCGCGAAGGCGCGCGCCACGGTGACGTTGTGCTCCGCCACGCCGTTCGGGACGCTGGACTGCTGCGTGTGCACCGTGGGGTAGCTGAACACCAGGGACCTTCCTGAGAGGAGCACGCGGTTGAAGGACTCTACCAGCGCAGAGTCCAGGACGACCTGGGAGGCCAGAACTCGGACGTTCTGGATCTCAAAGTCGGTGCTCAGCGTGGCCCCCGCCGGGTGCGCCCCGGCGTTCTCGGACCACAGCGCAGTGGTGGCGTCCGCAAAACTCAATTTCTATCACCAGGTTCAGCTGCGGCGGCAGCATCTTCCCGCAGCGCAGGATGCCCACCAGGGGGGGGCGCTCGCAGCGCTGGCCGTTGGCGAAGACCTGGACGCGCTGGACGAAGCAGGCGGGGTTGGGCGTGGCCGGGGCCAGCGGGTTGGTGCCGTCCGTGTTCCTGACGCGGAAGGCGATCTTGATGGACTCGGGGTCGATGAAGGACGTGCCGCTGGTCAGCGGGATGCGGCAGACCCTAGAGGTTGTGGGGGAGAAGGAGCTCAGCGAGCTGGGGAAGTACTGCACGTCATGCCGCGCCGTCACGTAGCTGGTGTTGCTTGTTTTCAGCTTGTAGTCCAGGCTCTGCATCAGCTCATCCTGGGCTCCGGCGGTGACTACCTCCATGCTTGTTTATATACACGCATTTTGACTCGTACGGCAAAGGAAAACTATTCTTCCAGTGCCTATATCAATATAGACACTGGAGGAATAGCGTTTTGTGGCGCAAAAACCGTGCAAAACGAGCTATTCTTCTAGGGACAAAAAGGAAATAGAGCCTGGAAGAATAGCATTTTTTAGCGCAAACCGTGCAAAACGAGCTATTAGTCCAGGGTGTACATGTATGTACGGCCTGGACTAATAGCATTTTGTTGCCCAAAACCGTGCAAAAGCTATTACTCCTGTCCGTACATAGATGTACAGACTAGAGTAATAGCATTTTGTAGTGCAAAACCGTGCAAGTTAGGCAGCCTCAATGTCTCGCGCCAGCTGGTCAAAGCTGGGCGGAGGCAAGCTCCGGCGTCCGGAACTGGAGCTCGCCCGCGAGCTCTGAGACTGGGGCAGGGCCACGGGGTTCAGGCCCCAGGAGAAGGGGCGCGGCGTGTTGTTGGACTGCGCCTGCACGCGGAAGCCGGACTGCGAGCGAGGCGCGGCCCGCCCGGTGGGTTCAGCTGCCGTCCAGCGGCGCGCGCGAGAGCAGCGCGTAGGCCCCGGGCCGCGCCGCAGGTTCAGCACGACGGCACCATCCGCCCCCGTGCGAGCCCGGGCGCCGCCGCCCGCGGCCTCCGTGATCTGCTGTCGTTGTCTCGCCCAACTTGCCATTCTTTTTTTACGGGTCCAGTTTTTTTTGCTCGGCCGCGCATTCTCCCCGGGTATACTTGCCCGTAAAGGCCGGCCTTTTTCGCACGGGTTTGCGCTGAAAAAATGCTATTACTCCAGGGTGTACATGTATGTACGGCCTGGAGTAATAGCTCGTTTTGCACGGTTTTTCGCATGGTTTTGCATGACATGATTTTGCTTGATTTTGGCATGACATGATTTTGCATGATTTTTTTTTGCGTGGCGTGTTTCTCACATGGGTCTTGTCGAAACATGTTCTGGTGCAGGTCTTGGTGGCGAGCAATCAGATGAGAACTTTGAAGGTTGAAGTGGAGAAGGGATTCCATGCGAATATCTCAAACACTTGTTTGTTGCAGCGCGTCGGCCCGATCAGACAGCAACAGCATCGGCAATCATCGGATCAGGCAACCCTCGGCAACCCTCGGCAACCCTCGGCAACCCTCGGCTCGGATCAGGTAGCGTCAGCAACCCTCGGCTCGGCAACCCTCGGCAACCCTCGGCAACCCTCGGCTCGGATCAGGTAGCATCAGCAACCCTCGGCTCGGCAACCCTCGGCAACCCTCGGCAACCCTCGGCTCGGTTCGGAGACAGCAGCATCAGCATCAGCAGCAACAGCACCAGCATCAGCAGCACCAGCAGCAACATCAGCAGCACTAGCTCGGCAAGCGCGACACAATGTCGTCCGGGCAATGGTGGGACGAGAGCTGGCGTGCTCCGAGGCCAGCGTGTTTTTTGCTCTTTGTCGGCGCCATTCATGACCTAGGCGTGGCCCTGCGTGGGATCGGCGGCAGGAGGGCTTCCAGAGGCGGCAGGACGAGCGGATGGAGCAGGCCCCCCTTGTTTGTTTTGGTCCCTCACATCATTCGATTTTTTTGCAGGTACGCCAGATCGCGTCCCTCACCGAGCAGGTGAAGAACGAGACTGCCCACGCGGTACATGCTGAGCAGAAAGTGGAGGCGTTTCGCAACCAGGTGGCGCAGCAGAACGCGGACATCCACGCGATGGCCACCGAGCTGACGGTGGGGAGGCTCAAGATCGCGGAGCTGCAGAAGGAGCTCGACAAGGCGCATGCGTTGTTTACGGGCTTCAGACTGTGTTTTTTCCTGTGGAAGGCAAACACGCCGAAGAGGGCGCGGAAGGAGCTCGACAAGGTGCCTCAGGTGCGTTCATGACCCACTCCTCTGTTTTTTCCTTTTCTTTCGCAGGCGGACACCTCGAACAAGACGCGGAAGGAGAAGTAGACCTAGGCCTGTCGCGGCCCCATTTGCCTTTGAGTTGCATCAAACCCTCACTTGTGCGTCAATGTCATCCATTTTTTTACAGCTGTGTTCCTGCTCGCCTGAGATGCAATTATCCCTCCGTCAGGTGGCCATCTGAGGAGCATTGGTGGCCCGCGCCGGCCTTGCTCTCTTCTTTGATTGAGTTGCGCCCGCATGCGTCAAGGTCGTCCATTTTTTTGCAACAATCTACGGGAGGCGTGATGTTTGATTGTGCATTCACTGCATGGACACATGTTCTGGGCGGTCCTCACGCGGTCGTTGACAGGCGCTCATCTGAGAGGGCATCCGCGATTTTTGACCGCCGGCAACGGCAAAACGAGCTGCTCGAGCAGCCGACGATGTCGTGCGTTGGGGGGGCGGGGCTGCTGTGAAAGTGGCGGCCACTGTATAAGTGGCGGGGAGGGGCCACGGTTCAAGTGGCAGGCCACTGTACAAGTGGCGGGTGGTAGGGGGCCACTGTTCAAGTGGCAGGCCACTGTATAAGTGGTTGAGCGTGCGTTTTAGGGTAGGACGTGCCGAGCGGGCACAGTGCCGAGCGGGCACTTTAGGTTAGGAGTGCCGAGCGGGCACGGTGCCGAGCGGGCACGTAGGACAGTACGGGTTCGCCCAACGACCCTTAGTACGGGTTCGCCCAACGACCCTTAGTACGGGTTCGCCCAACGACCCTTAGTACGGGTTCGCCCAACGACCCTTAGTACGGGTTCGCCCAACGACTCATAGTACTGGTTCGCCCAACGGGCCCTTGATACTGGCTCGCCCAACGACCCTTACTGCTGAGACAAGTGAGACAAGTGAGACAAGTGAGACAAGTGATTTCCAGAGCCACCGAGGTCCTACTGAGACATTGAGACAAGTGAGACAAGTGAGACAAACACGACACCTGTCGATTTTTTGCTGCTTTTGAGCAATTGAGACAAGTGAGACAAGTGAGACAATCACGACACCTGTCGATTTTGCTGCTTTTGAGCAATTGAGACAAGCGAGACAAGTGAGACGAACACAAGGGTGGCAGGTTCGCCTGTTTGTGAGCAATTTTGCTGAGATATTCGGACAATTGCGACAAGTGAGACAAATGAGACCATACAGAACTGTCCCGAAAAACGGTGCCAAATGGCCGTTTTTTCGTTTGTCTCACTTGTCTCACTTGTCTCACTTGTCTCAGCAGGACTTCCCTGGGCCTGGAAAAAAAAACTGTCTTTGGTGGCGACTTGTCGTGGTGAAATGTTTCAAAAAACGTTTTTTTTCCGAATGGATTGGATGACGTGAAGAGAGCCACGGCGATGTCTCAATGGGGCTCTTACGGGTCGAATCGCAAGGGACACGGACGTCTCGCGCCGCAGAGACTTACTCAATTCGATCAGTAGACGAGCCACAAGGTAGCTGACAGGCATGGAGCGTTGGTCCCAACTACAGGAGATGGTGATCGGCGGGGATGCCCGAGCTGATGAGATCTGCCAGCTGCTGACGAACGAGGCCGACACGGACCTGCGCAGGTCGGTGCTCCTGCAGCGACTCGTGGACGTGCTTGGAGAGGGCTTCACTCCGTTGAGTGCACAGATGCAGCTGCAGTGGATGCTGTTGGAGGACGCCGTCGCCTCCGGTGACTCGACAGCGACACACTTGCTCAGTTTTCTGGCAAGTGCACGGGGGTCCCCTGTGGTCGCTCTGGCTCGCCTGACAAAGGGCGTGGGTGCCAAGGATTGGCGCAACATCTCGCCAGGAGTGGCGGAGATGTTGATGCGCGATGTGCCGGAGGCGGTCGAAGTCTATGACGACAATTCCGAGGAGGAGGAACAGGGTGTGGTGGCGTGCCCGTGGACAGAACAGGCTGAGGCCGCGGAGTTGGAGGCGGCGGCAAATATCTCGCACGACTTCGTCGACGAGGATCCGATTGCGGAGCAGCCTGATGACGATCACCTGGACGAGCAGGCGGATGCGAACGAGGAGGTGCCCCAAATCCTCTTCGACAGGGTCAACCCAGTGGCAGTCGAAGAGATTGGCAAGCGTGTTCTCAGCAAGGTCTTCAGGACAGGCAACGGGAACGGCCCGACGGTGATGCGCATCTGTGGAGATATCCTGGCACAGTGCACACGTGGGAAGGTGGCCGGGGCGAGGTGCTTTCGCACTACGTACAGGGAGGAGAAGGGGATGGTCGCCATCGGCAAAAAAGGCAGGCGTTTCTCCGGTCACGTGGAGGCTCCCAAGAAGAAGAAGAAGGGAGAGGAGGAAGAGGAGGAGTTTAAGAGCCCGTTGGGGATCGTCACGGCTCACTTCGCAACCAGCACCTTCGCCCAGCCGAATTGGCTCCGGTCACTGCTTCGCTCGGGATTTCGTCTTTGACTTGGAGAACTGCCACTTGGCAGTGCTGCGCGAACGCCATCAGCCAGCGGCCGACTCGGCGCTGGAGACATACTTCCAGGACAGGGAGCGCATCCTCCGCGACACACATGCGGACCGCACCGTGGCCAAACAGCTCTTCCTGCGTCTTCTGTACGGTGGGTCGATCTTGGCCTGGAAGCGCACGCACCGACTTGGGGAGTTCGCGACAGAGCAGTTTGCCGAGCGGTTCGCAGCAGAGATGGCTGCCATGCGGCAGGCTGACTGCCAGAACCACACCCAGCTACTTGCCAAGCTGCGGCAACGGACGGCGCGCCCCGTGGAGTATTTGCAGTACGCCCTCAACACTGCGCGAGAGAGGGAGCTGATTGACAAGGTCGTGCTGCTCCTGGGAGAGCATCACAACGCAGCCGTCCTGGCTTTCGAGCACGACGGGCTGTTCCTCTACTGGCCGGACGAGCCGGAGAAACTACGCGGGCTCATCGAGAGTGCGCTGTGCGGCTTCCGCTACACTGTGAAGCCGACGATGCCGCTACGAGAGGCTCTGCAGGCGGCAGCGAGAGTGATGCGCAGCGGCAGCCCCGGCCTGGAGCGCATGTTTGACCAGGTGGACTCGCGTTGGCTTGAGCACCACGGTATCGTGCGCCAAGCCTTCAAAGGTTCGTTGCAGTACCACGGCCTGTTCGGGGAAGTCGTGCTGAGGAGCCCGGCGGTTTCCAGCAAGATCCCATACTCGTTGAAGGACATCTTCAAGTTCATCGTCGACACTGGTCACAAAGCCTGGTTCAGCGCCACACTGAAAACTTGGATCCTGACTGGAGACAGCGCAATGGACTCTCTGAGGAAGGCGAGTGAGAAGATTCTGATCCGCGACTTGACGGACTACCACATCGAATGGACCACCTCGGAACAGGATGCGGGGTTTCGGAGCAACACTCGCTGGGAGTTCACTGGCCAGACTTTCCAGAACGGCGTTGCCAACTGGCTGAAATCGAATCTGGGAGAGTCCTCCGCGGCCTTCGATGTGGACGGAGAGTCCTGCCGCAAGTACTTGAACTTCTCCGGCAGCAAAGTGCTGAACAGTGAGACGCTGGAGTGGTCTCCCATCAGCCCCACATTCAAAATCACCCGCAGCACTAACTGGGAGCATCAATGGCCTGCCTGGTGGTCCACGGAGGTTTGCACCGAGCTCTACGCCGTTCTGGCCGAGGTGCGTCGTCAGCAGGAGGATGCGGAGAAGAGGAGGGTGGAATACACCCTCGGTGAGCCTTGACGCCCTGTGCAAGAAGATCCCTGCGTTGCAGGTGGCGCACGCCTGGACGGTGGATGACTGGGAGTCCACATTGTTTGAGCTGTCGCTGCTCGTGAAGGGAGTTTTCGGAGGCACGCAGGCGGCAGCCCTGTGGACCAGGGGCGTGGGTAGGAACGGAAAAGACACGCTGTGCAACATCATGCAGGCTGTCTTGGGGAGCTACGCTGTCTCGATGGCAGCGCAGACACTGTCCCGAATCAGGGACCCGAGCGCTCCATCACCGGCGTACGCACTGTGCAGGGCACGTCGCTTCGTGGCGATCAGGGAGATCGACAAATGCGAGCCCATCAGGCAGCAGTTGTACAAGGTGTTCACCGACCCGAAGAGTGAGCTCACGGGCAGAGACATGTACGAGAAGATGGTGCAGTTCAAGCCCCAGTTCCTCCTTTTCCTCGCATCGAACGACCCCCCAGCCCTTGTCAACGATCTGGCCAACAGGGAACGGACCAACGTTGTGGAGCATGTGTCGGTGTTCCACGACCATCCCGTGGAAGCGAACCACGCACAGTGGAAGGACATTGAGGCCACGCTGGAGACATCCGAGGGCAAGGCAGAGTACTTCGCCCTGTTTTACGCCGTCTTCCATCAGCTGCTGTGGCAGAACCCCCGCAGGCGCATCGGCCCTATCCCACCCAAATGCCTGGCTTTCCTGGAAGAGGAGATGCATGACCCCGTCTTGAGCGCCGTCACAGATTTCGTTGCCACGAAGCTGGAGCGAGCGCCAAGGGGAGGTGCCACGCCATGTGAGGAGGTGCACAAGGCGTTGCATGCCTTTGTCGAGAGAAACGCGCCGGTGGAGGGCAGGCGCCGCGAAGTCCGGCGCGGCGAGCTCCTGAAGCAACTGGGCGTCCTGGAGAAGAGGGGACGCGGCGGCGCCACGCTGGACGGCCGCCGCAAAAACACCTACTATTTGATCTACATCTTCCCGAAGACGGACGGCTCCAAGGATAGTGAAGCCAGCTTCGTTCGCTTGGTGAGTGGCGCAGAGCCTGCAGTTGGAGGCGGCAACTGAGTGAGGGGAGGAGGAGGGACATGTGCAATCAGGTACAGTGCACTATCCCTGTTTCATCTTGCAGCGAACAGAGAGACGAACAGAAAAAAGACGGAAGCGATCGAGACGCTTTGGCGCTAGCGTGAGAGCTTGTGTTCCATCGCCGACTGACTGCGCGACACGCTCCGTCGTATCAGGGGCTCAAAAGCATTTGGATTGTGGACTGCAAGAGTTGCGCCGAGACGTTGCGACAAGCACAAACCGGCCATTTTTTTCTCATGTCAGGAAGGAGACAGCACTTTTTTTTTCTCGGAGCCAGAGAAGTCTCACTGAGACAAGTGAGACAAGTGAGACAAGTGAGACAACACAAACCCAGCGATTTTTTTGACTTTTTTTTGCATGAAACCTGCAATGGAAACAATTGGCATGGATTGAGACCAAAGAACGTCCATTTTTGATTGTTTTGCTGCATGAAACCTTGTGTTGGGACAACTGATGCAACTGAGACAAACATGAAACCGGCCAATTTGGCCGCCTTGCTGCATGAAACCTTGAGTTGAGACAATCGAGACAACAACGGAGACAAGTGAGACAAACGCGAAACCAGCCATTCTTTACCTTTTTTTTTCTACCATGGAGACAGGCCGTTTTTTTTCAGAGCCAGAGAAGTTCCCCTGAGACATTGAGACAAGTGAGACAAGTGAGACAAACACAAAACCGACCAATTTGGTTGTTTTTTTACTTGAAATCCTCCGTGGAGACCACTGAGACAAGTGAGACAAGCAGGCCAATTTGGCTGTTGTTTTTTGGTATGGAAGCCTCCGTTGAGACAAGTGAGACAAGTGAGACAAACACAAAACCAGCATTCTGTTTGCCGTTTTATTGAATTTTATTGGTTGTCTCACTTGTCTCACTTGTCTCAATGTCTCAGTAGGACCTTTGCGGGTCTGGCGTTTTTTTTGTGTCTTGAGCACCCCAAACCCTAACGCAGGGACATTTGCACGGTTTTGCGCGGTTTGCCCACGCCAGCCCCCGCTCATTTGAGTGGTTCGCCCAACCCGTTTGGGCTTGATACTGGTCCGCCCAACCCGTTTGGTTTGCCGAGGACCCCAAACCCTAAAGGGACATTTGCACCGTTTTGCGCAACAAAAATGCCATTCTTACAGGGTGTATATTCATATACGGCCTGGAAGAATAGCTCGTTTTGCACGGTTTTTTGCGCTGAAAAAATGCTATTACTCCAGTGCCTATATCAATATAGACACTGGAGTAATAGCTTTTGCACGGTTTTTGCACGGTTTGCTCATGCCAGCCCCCGCTCATTTGATTGGTTCGCCCAACCCGTTGGTTTCCCGAGCACCCCAAACCCTAACCCAAAAAGGGCTTGAGCAGGCTCCGGCAATTCCCCCCCAGCCCGCGCAATGTCTCGAAACCGTTTTTTTCTAGTGTTTTCGCTCGATCATCCAACTTGAGTGTGATCAAAGTTTTTTTTTGCCCCAAAACGGGTCTGATCAAGCTTCCTCGGAAACGGCGAGGCCTGAGGAGGCCTGAGCGTGCCTAAAAAAAATAATTTTCAAAGGAGGCTAGTCGAGGGTCCTGGGCCTCGGAGGCCCCAGGAAGTCGTCCAGCTGCCTCAGCCGCCGGCCTGCCCCGTCTCGTCAGCCGGCCCGCCGCGTTGCTGCTGCCCTGCGGCGCCGGCAGCGCCAGCTTCAGCAGGGTCTCCCGGCCCTCCGTGCTGCGGACGGTCATGGAGTCCACGGCCCCCAGCTGCTGCACGTCGCCGTACTGAGGGTTGAAGCTCCTCGCCGCGGTCGTCGGCGCTCGGAAGGCGCCCGCGTCCTGCACCGCCTTCACGCGCCGGTCGGTGAGGTCCTTGTTGTGCTGGAACTTGTCGGCGTTGTCTTGCAGGACCCTGAACTCCGTGGCCGGCTGCCTCTCCACGTCCTCGGGCGCGCCGTGCACCGTCTCGTGGGGCCGCGCGTTGTAGGCCCCGGCCGCCCGCTTGAAGTGGTCGCTCCACTGCCCGCCCTTGCGCGCCACCCTCGTGGCCAGGTCCTTCTTCAGCGTCTGGATTCCCCGGTCCACCACGGCAATGGCGTTGCGGTCCTCGGGCCGCTTCGTGCGGTGCACGGCATTTTCGGGCAGCTCCCGGTCCAGCGTGGCGAACTCGTTGCCCAGGTCCGTCGTGACCACGAAGTTCCCGTCGTCCCCCGTCAGCTCCTTTGCGGCGCGCTTGGTGGCGCGGCCCACCGTCTCGGCGTTCTTGTTCTGCAGAGGTTCCACGGCGCCCTCCCGGGTGAAGACGTCCATCACCACCAGGCCGTACTTCGTCTTCCCCCGCGTGTTCTGGCTGAAGTCGATGATGTTCTTCGGCCCCCGCTGGGCCTGCCAGGCTTCCACCTCGTCCAGCCGGGCCTGGAAGCCCTTGCACACCCCCCACAGCACACTGGTGAGGTGAGAGTAGTCGAGAGTAACCATCTCCGTGCCGTCGCTCCACCGGGCGGTGCCCGTCAAATTCTTCCACTTCGTTCCTGCGAAGTCGTTTGACGCGAAGCCTTCATGTCCGGGCGCTTGTACTGCTTGGCCTCCACGGAGTCGAGGGCCGCTGTCGGGGGCCGCGCTGTTGTTGGACACTTGCAGCTTGCTCCAGCCCGCCCAGTTCTTCGTCAGGAAGAGATCGTCCGAGAAGTCTGAGGTGTTGGTCACGGTGAGCGTGTTGGAGGCGAAGAGCTGCGGCGCGGAGACCGTGCCCGAGCTCGTCACGTCGCCGCAGACCACGCTGCCCGTCGACACTCCGCCGCTCGGCCGTGAAGGTGCAGTCCAGGCTCTCGCAGTCCAGCGGGCCCGCGGAGGCCGCCCCGGTGATTGTCAGCGTGGCGCCCGTGAGCGCCCCGGTGGCTGCGAAGCTCGCCGCCGTCGCTGTGCCCGAGGCCGTCAATGTCCCCGTGGACACGTCGCCCACCGTGGTGAAGTTCCCGGCGTTGGCCGTGTTGTTGATGGTGAGTGTGCTGCCCGTGATTCCGGTGGCGGAGCTCAGCAGGCCCACGCTGGCCGCGCCGGTGATGCTCAGCGAGCTGCCTGACACGGCCCCTGTGGACGACAGCGTGGCTCCGGCGACGGTGCCTGTGGCTGTGAGCGCTGCGCAGGAGACTGCGCCCGAGGCATCCACGCCCGTGGTGAACACGTCCGTGCAGTTCACGTCGTTGCACAGCAGCTGGTCGCAGCCCACGTTGCCCTGCGCGGTGAGCCCGTCCAGCGTGGCCGAGCCCGTGAGGGCCAGCGCGTCCGCCAGCAGGTCCGTTACCGAGACAGACTCTCCCTCGAAGGCGCTGGCCCTGATCTGCATGCTGTACAGGTCCAGCGTGCCCGCCGACTGCTGCACCAGCCCGGGGATGGAGCCGCCGAAGTCTCCGAAGTGCAGCTTCGCGATTCCGCCCGGCGGCACCGAGAAGTCCAGGCGCGCCGTGCTCCAGACTCCCTGCGAGGGCGTGCCGAGGAAGGTGCCGGTGGTGACGCCCACGTAGTCGTTGTCGGCCGCGCTGACGTACATCACCAAGTTGGAGGCCGTGCCCAGCCGGTACCGGCAGCCGAAGGAGTAGCGTCTCCCCGGCGTCAGCGTGTAGGTGCGCACAATGTTCCAGGCGAAGGCGCTCAGGGTCATGGCGTAGCCTTTCAGCTGGAAGCCTCCCACCGCGAAGCTGGCCGAGGCCACGGGGCTCTGGCTGTTGGAGCGCACCAGGAAATTTCCTAGCGTGGTGAGCGTGGGCTCCAGCAGCACCTCGCCCAGGGTGGCAG